GGCGCCGGGGGTTAGTGTGCCCGCGGGAAGCCGAGGGAGGTGCGCGGTGTGTCCCGGGGCGGTCGCAGGTGTTTTTCCCGCGGTGTGTGCGGGTTCTCCCCGCGCTTCCCCTGCACGGCCGTGCACAAACCCTCAGCTTGCCTTCTCTCCCGCTGCTGAAACATAAATGAAGTTCAGTGCTCAGCTGATCTGATTTTCCGTCATGATTCAGCGGTTAATTAATCGTATTTTGGCATCTTTTTAAACAAATACTGCTGCTTTTTTTCTTCTTCTTTAGGTCGTAATTATTAAGAGTTAAGTAATGCCTATATTATGCTGCTGTTATAATTAGCTAGCTGTTAGTGCAGTGCTTGGAAACTCAACCCTGCCCAGTGTATGACATGTCCACAGCAAGTAGGTAAATATAATGGTATTCTGACACTCAGATTCACTGCCCCTTGATGAGAAATTTTATATTTGGAACTTTGCTTTTTTAGTTAAGTCATTGGAAAGAGGAGTGAAGAAGGAATTGCTGTTGAACTGCTGTTTCTAGTTTCTCATATGTTTTTTTATAGTAGCACAAGCTGAGGCCTTAATCCTAAATAGCATATTCCTGACTAGATTCTTTGCAAACAGAAAATTTTAGTGTAATAAAGTTTGTTAAATAAAATATAATGTTATGTATTTGTAAGTACATAGTTTAATATAGTTCTTTTTTTTGCTAAGACTCACTGAAATACATGGTGCTGTGATAGCTGATTTTTCGTGGTAACTAAGGACTTAGACTGTCACTCTATGATAGGAATACTGAGATAATGCCTATTAATGATCCCTCTTTGTTTTAGTCTCTATACTTCTGTTTTCAGTTAATTTAGTCTATTCATGCTAAATGTATATGCTGTGTTTTCTGTATATGAGTGTAGATGCATTGGTCTATCTTGCATAAAACATAAATGGCTTTTCATCCCAGAGTGTAAGAACTTGGCAGAAACTTTATATAATCCTTCACTGACAGTGATACTCCTTTAGGGCAAGTTATTGGTAGATGCATCATGCATTGATTAATAATAACAGCTGGGGTGAAGGAAATTTTGGGGTTTTTTATCCAAACCAGAAGAACTTGCAGGGTTAGAGATCTCACTCTCTTGTTACTTCCCCCATCCTCTCCTAGTCTCACAATCTTTAGTTACACTTACCTGAGGTGAAGCTTCAGTTTCACTTGCAGAGATTCTAGGTTGCTCGGGTAGGCAAGATTACTTCTTTTTTTCCAAGGAAGTGTAAGTCATGGATCCAGAAACCCTTGTTAACCTTGTTAACCCTTTAACTTTGTTTTATCTGCTATTACAATAATATACTTATATTTTGTGGTTATCGCCATGGAAAACGCAGGATTCGTCATCTTAATCAGTTTTCTGCCAAAAAAAAGTACCTCAGTTGCTGTTGTAATGTAGAGGTCACGTATAATTTTTGTTGCTTCTTACAGTCTCCACACTCCCTGTATAATAGGGCTGCAATTCACAGTCCTTGTTGAATTTGCTCTGGCAGCCGAGGCAGTTGATGTCCTCTAACTGTGGGAGAGACTTGGTGTGCTGCAGCTCAGTGTAAGAGGTGTTATGGATCAGCTATCAGTATTCTTATTTTTACCACCCTATGTTATTGCAGTTCAGTGGTTTGCTATGCTATAAATAGATTACTTGCCTCATTTCCTGTTTTTCTCACCTTTGAGTGAAGACCTTCAGCAGGGGATAAGGTTGGGCAGTTGACAATGGTAGTCTCTTTATTGCAGCCACTAAATCATATGGGGATTAGAAATTAATTCTTCAAGAGGGATAGGTGTAATGATCAGATGAAGTTCAAATCATGGTGGGGTCAGTTTTCACTCTGCATCAGTTAACTTATGAAGCATAAGTAGTGAAATATTTTTATCTCCACAGCACCCATGCATGATGAAGAAGCTTTATAGGATGGGGAAGGGAATACAGGGGCAACGTTCTGCAGAA